AAAAAAAAATAGCAATTGATTTGAGAATCGAGACGCGAGAAGTGGGTTTGTTAGGGTGATCCGACCCATGAAGCAATACCCTAGCCGAATAGCCGATGATTGGTATAAATATAGGAGCATTCCCCTCTCAAAACCCTCACTCAGACAGACATCGCCGCCTCTCATCGGTAAGCTACCATCCACCCTATGGTTCCGGTTCCGATTCCGATATTTTTGTTTTTCGCTTCATCTCTTTATTGTAGTTTCTTCACTATTATTTTTAGGTTCTGTGTCATGCATTGCTACTTCTATTCATTTTCTACTTGTGTTTGATCAATACCTATGTGTTATTGCTTACAAAGCCTTTTGTTTTCATCTGACTTATCAACTTCGTTCACATCATGTATGATCTTGTTATGATCCCTGGATCGATTTCAAAACTCGACCTTTAAACATTAAAATCTACGACATTGCTTATCCTACATTGTATCGATCAGTTGAAGTTCTATTGCTAATTACTGATGACGCCTGAAATTTCTACTTCATTCACTATGTCATGTCAGGACATACTCTCTGAAGCCTGCAGTTATAATTTTCTCTTCATCTGTTATTTCTTCTTGTTTGCTTTTATCGATCAGAATATATGTTTAAGGGCCACAGATAAGTGGTGGATTTGGTTTGTGGCTGTCTGATATTCTGATTGTTGGATAACTTACATGCTCTTTTGGTTATTGGAATTTTGCTACTTGTTCAGGCAAGTTGTAGTGACAAAATATACGAGGGGGACATTTACACATTCATTACAAACTTTTTTGGGTGGGTGCAAGAAACTTAGTTTATAAATTTATAGCATTCTTTGACGAACTATAAAAGTTGCCCTGTCTATATCATTGTATGTAATTTATCAAAATCCGAAAGAAAAAGTATGCATGATAATATGATGTCTATTTGCTTCATACTTTAGAAAGTGAAAGAAGAGTATGAACTACCACATTGGAAATCATTTTTAGACAATCTGCTAATGTTACAATTGATGGACTTTGTTGTTTCATTTTTTGTGATCAAGTTATTATTTGTTCTATATACTTATATTCCACAATCATGTGAGTTATTGGACTTATATATGTTAAACATGTGGTGTTTTATAGCTAATATGCAGCTTACTACCTTTTTTTGTAGGAATTTTGGCTGAAAATTTCACTGCCCTTTTGTTGGTGATACTTGACGCCAGGCACAATGGTAACTACATTTAAAATTTTAAGACATTTAACATTTTCCTGTACGTTTGTTTTTCTTGTTTTTCCACAATGGTTACTTATTTAAATCTTTTTTTCTACCCAACAGGTGAAGTTTACAGCTGAGGAGCTCCGTAGGATCATGGACTACAAGCACAACATCCGTAACATGTCTGTTATTGCTCATGTTGATCATGGTACAGAAGCAGCGCAGATTATTTGTTTTTATTCTTATTTTATCAATTTGTCTTCTCTCGGACACTAAATTACCATTTCATTTGTTAGGCTTATTTTCTTTTAGTTTACATCTTCATACTGTTGTCACCATCTTTTACTTAACATTTAGGAAAGGAGGTATCAAAATACATAGGGTGCCCAAGTTATTAATTTTGGTGCCTATCTTTTTGGCTCTTTGGGTTTATTACTACATGTATATTGTTTGTTAATATGTTTGTTCTATTCTTATGTCAATGGTCAAGAACTCAAGGTTTACTCATTGGCTTGCTAAGCCTAATTACTCTCTCATCTTCTATAACAGGGAAATCTACATTGACGGATTCTCTTGTGGCTGCTGCTGGTATCATTGCACAAGAAGTTGCTGGTGATGTGCGGATGACTGATACTCGTGCTGATGAAGCAGAACGTGGCATCACTATCAAGTCTACTGGTATCTCTCTTTACTATGAGATGACTGATGCAGCGCTCAAGAGTTTTAAGGGAGAACGTAATGGGAATGAGTACCTGATCAATCTTATTGATTCGCCTGGGCACGTTGACTTTTCTTCTGAGGTTACTGCTGCCCTACGTATCACGGATGGTGCATTAGTTGTTGTTGATTGTATCGAAGGTGTCTGTGTCCAGACAGAAACTGTTCTTCGACAAGCCCTTGGAGAAAGGATTCGGCCAGTCTTGACCGTCAACAAGATGGACAGGTGTTTCCTTGAGCTTCAGGTTGATGGAGAGGAGGCATATCAGACATTCCAGAGGGTTATTGAGAATGCTAATGTAATTATGGCAACATATGAGGACCCACTGCTTGGTGATGTTATGGTTTACCCTGAGAAAGGTACTGTTGCTTTCTCTGCTGGGTTGCATGGTTGGGCATTTACTCTAACAAACTTCGCCAAGATGTATGCCTCCAAGTTTGGTGTGGATGAGTCGAAGATGATGGAAAGGCTCTGGGGCGAGAACTTTTTTGACCCTAAAACGAAGAAGTGGACCACCAAGAATAGTGGTTCTGCAACATGCAAGCGAGGTTTTGTTCAATTTTGTTATGAGCCCATCAAGCAGATTATCAACACCTGTATGAATGACCAAAAAGATCTGTTGTGGCCCATGTTGACAAAGCTTGGTGTCACCATGAAGTCTGATGAGAAGGAGTTGATGGGCAAGGCATTGATGAAGCGTGTCATGCAGACCTGGCTTCCTGCTGCTACTGCCCTACTTGAAATGATGATCTTTCATCTGCCTTCTCCTCACACTGCTCAGAGGTACCGTGTTGAGAACTTGTACGAGGGTCCTTTGGATGATGCTTATGCCAATGCCATTAGAAACTGTGACCCTGATGGCCCTCTCATGCTATATGTCTCGAAGATGATTCCTGCATCTGACAAAGGAAGATTCTTTGCTTTTGGTCGTGTGTTTGCCGGGAAAGTTTCAACTGGTTTGAAGGTAAGAATAATGGGCCCCAATTACGTTCCAGGTGAAAAGAAAGATCTGTATGTGAAGAGTGTTCAAAGGACTGTCATCTGGATGGGGAAGAAACAAGAGACTGTGGAGGATGTCCCTTGTGGTAATACAGTTGCATTGGTTGGGTTGGATCAGTTCATCACCAAGAATGCAACATTGACAAATGAGAAAGAAGTTGACGCACATCCAATTCGTGCCATGAAGTTCTCCGTGTCACCTGTGGTGCGTGTTGCTGTTCAGTGTAAGGTTGCATCCGACCTTCCTAAGCTTGTTGAAGGATTGAAGCGACTAGCCAAGTCTGATCCTATGGTTGTTTGTACCATTGAGGAGTCTGGTGAACATATCATTGCGGGTGCAGGAGAGCTCCATCTTGAAATATGCTTGAAAGACTTGCAAGATGATTTCATGGGTGGTGCGGAGATTGTTGTTTCTGATCCAGTTGTGTCCTTCCGTGAAACTGTTCTTGAGAAGTCATCCCGAACTGTGATGAGCAAGTCTCCCAACAAGCACAATCGTTTGTACATGGAAGCTAGGCCAATGGAGGAAGGACTTGCAGAGGCTATTGATGAGGGGAGAGTTGGGCCTCGGGATGATCCCAAGGTACGTGGTAAGATCTTGGCTGAGGAGTTTGGATGGGACAAGGATCTTGCAAAGAAAATCTGGTGTTTTGGTCCTGAGACAACTGGGCCCAACATGGTGGTTGATATGTGTAAGGGAGTGCAGTACTTGAATGAAATAAAGGATTCMGTKGTTGCTGGGTTCCAGTGGGCATCAAAGGAAGGTGCATTGGCTGAAGAGAACATGAGGGGCATATGCTTTGAGGTGTGTGATGTGGTACTCCATGCGGATGCTATTCACAGGGGTGGCGGCCAAGTGATTCCGACTGCCAGGAGAGTTATCTATGCTTCACAGCTCACTGCCAAGCCCAGGCTCCTTGAGCCGGTGTACCTGGTGGAGATCCAGGCACCTGAACAGGCTCTTGGTGGAATATACAGTGTGCTGAATCAAAGGCGTGGACATGTGTTTGAGGAGATGCAGAGGCCTGGTACACCGCTATACAACATAAAGGCTTATCTGCCGGTTGTTGAATCGTTTGGATTTTCTGGTGCATTGAGGGCATCTACTTCTGGGCAAGCCTTCCCTCAATGTGTGTTTGATCACTGGGATATGATGTCTGCTGATCCGCTGGAAGCTGGTTCCCAGGCAAGCACGCTGGTGTCCCAAATCCGTAAGAGGAAAGGGCTCAAGGAACAGATGACACCGCTTTCTGAGTTTGAGGACAAACTTTGATTTTTTATTTTATTTTCTATCTTTTACCATTCCTGATCCTGATGATATATTACTTGAAATGAGATGATCCTGGTGGCTACAAACAATGATATGTTTTAATTTTGACATCTTGGTCAATTTTTGTTCTGATCTGGATTTGTTTTCTTGGTTTTCTTCATACGGGTTGATTTTTTTTTTTTGGTTTTTTTTTTGGGGGGGGGGGGGGGGTGTATTTACTCCATACATATCTCTTCAGATGTAGTTTTGTAGAAAACGAATCAGGATTTACCTTAATTATAAAGCAAAAGAGAAAGGGATGCATTAGACAGGCAGGCTCTTCCATGTGTGCATCGCATCTCGTAAGCTTAATTCATTATAAAATATAGATCTTTTATTTGAGTAGTTTAATGGTCATAGAGGGTGTGTTTTAAAGATCCCCTTGGAGAATTATTTGTGATTGAAAACAAATTATCTCTCTCTCATAAAATGATTGGGGATATAGACATTGATGATTTGGTTGTGATGATGTAACAAACGTTAAATTGATTGAAATATGTTAAGCTTTTTTAGTTATTATTAGAAAACCAACATGGTTTTCTTTTCAAGAATAAGTATGCATCTTTGTTTTTGGTTAACAATAACCCAGTTGTCACTTTTAGAGTTGGAAGGCATTTATTCATAAATGAAGATAAAGGTATAGGTGCCAGAGAATCAATAAGAAAATGAAGCTGTTTAAACGTTTTCGTGTTGTGCTCAGCTGGATTGTAATTGTAATTGTAATTGTAGGGTAGGATATATATATATATATATATATACCATACCCTCACACACACACCCCACCTTATCTTTCATCAATCTATTTGCTTCTGTAATTCAATCTTTACCAAGTGAAGTCATGAGCTGCAACGATCAAAACATGATTCCTGGTGAGTTTGTTAACTGCAATTCAGTTGATCTTTCTTGTTTTTATTGTTAATTAGAAAAATGATGGATGGATTGCAGTTGCATACCCTCCTCCTCCTGCTGCCATGGGCATGGAGAAACCAGTAGGATACCCAACAAGGGATGCCACTGAAAATCAAGTTCCGGCACACACTCACGCTCAGAGCAGCAGCAGGGGCGATGGCTTCTGGAAAGGATGGTAATATTTTTGGTTTGATTCTTGATCTGTTTCCATGGCTAAAAATGATTAAAGTTTATGTTGGTTGCAGTTGTGCTGCTCTATGTTGTTGTTGCGTCTTGGATGCCTGCTTCTAACATCCATTGCCAAATGCCAAATTGCCATTTGCCATGAGAAGTAGAAAGTGATGCCTCCTCTTTTATGTTTTTTGTGCTTAACGTTTTGTTGAATGAGAATATACATACATACATATGTATGTATGTATTACCTACTACAAGTCAAGTGAAAGTGAGTAATAGAAATAAATCCATTTTAGTGTTGTGGTTTTGTATTAATTAATTCACACAGCTCCTCTTCGTTATGGTCTGCTTTCTTGTCTACCAAATCCACCTAATTAATGGGATATTGTTGCCTATTCTGGTCAAACATTGGGACTCCCAGATGAACATCAAAATGATCACGATTTCTAAGAGTAAATTCAAATGTATTCATTCGACCCAAATGAACACAATTTCAGACATTAAAAGGGGTCTTGGATTAGCATACCACAAAACATTTAAGGTTTGATTTACCATACAACTAATTAAAACACATGTAGAGGTTGATTGCCCCCCCTGGTTTACAAAACAACCTCATTCAACTTCCTTCATCCAAAGGATCGGACCGCCTTCTCTTGGGCTCATTGTCACCTAAATGCAACGCAAAACCAAGATCCTCATCTGTTCCGCTTTTCAAAGCACTCAGATTCTCATACTGCACCCTAAACCGTCGCTCGTTTCTATGCAGTGGCGACCGCCCATTGAAACTTGGAATGAACTGATGTTCAATACTGTTGTTTTCCAAATTGGCTGCAGGGGACAGATTGATATCTGGACCACCTCCCTCTTCTGAACAAGGGATATGCTGTTGGATATGAAGTCCCAATGGCTCTGCTTTATCTTTAGGAAGCACTATTTCAGGAGGCGGAGAAGAATCCCCGCCTGTCGAACCAACCACCGTAGCTGAAGCAGCTCTTTGTTCTTGCACAGCACCTGCAAAACAACATCCGAATAGCCGATGATATAGAAATACTGAACCCATCCAATGGTATTTAACATCCAAAAAACTGCCAAATAAAATGCGTCCCAAGCCGAAATATCATATTTCACCCAGATTAGAAATTAAGACTCCACCACCCACTATCGGCTTTAAGTAGAAAGAAACCTTTGAGGGCATCAGCTGTTGTTATAAGATCAAGTTCAAGGAGATTGAGTAGGCGTCCAAGATCAACGCCACTTGTCCAGTTCTCTGGAGGCTGACCAACTTTAAGTTTAAGTCGACCCCTATTTGCTGTTCCGCCCCATATGATCCCAATGGGTCTTGGTTTCTCCCCTTCCTTCTCACCCTTCAACACAATCAGACTTCCACTATCACCTTCAAGGTCAAAGGTCTGTTGGTTCTCTCCAACAACAAGAAAATCAGTGAAGAAGCAAATCCCCTTCTCATCATTATATTCAAGGGCATAAGCTAAGATAGTCCCTTTAGTTAATCCTGAACTCCTCCCAACTTTCATCACTTGCTTACCGATAAGACTATTGATAGGAGATTGCAAATCTACGATTTTCACATCTCCAATCTCTCCAACATCTTTTACACACGTAGTTACAGTGGACATGTCAAAATCATCACTGAAGGGAATGAAGGCCCCATCTGCTCTCACAAATGTCTCTGCATAACACCAAGAAACAGAAAAAAGGTTAAATACAGGAAGCATGAGGACTTATATACATACATATCTATAGGGCTGGGTTCCGGTGAGAAGGGAAGTTATGGTGAGAACCATAAGAAGAGATCTCCACCCTTGGATCAATCCTAATTGAATGTCAACACTAATGAGGTGCACCGGATCAATTCCCTACTAAAGATAAATTCATGGGTGGGCATGATATTAAAAAGTGATCAAGGGGATAAGATCTCTTCTTATGCTTCTCGACGTAACTCTTTTTCTCACACGATCCTTCGCCTATATATATAACTGTATCACATGTTCTTTTTTCCTACTGTTCAAGCTTCCAGCAACGAATATACCCCTCTCCATTAAAGCACCTACCTCGATATTTCCTGTTCTTGCATAATCATTGCAGCACTGCTTACCTTAGAAATTTCAAGCCTCCTAATAGCTTTGAGAACTTCAACTGCTTATGCATAAAGTTTGTATATATTTATCCAAAAATCTGATTCATTATATAAAAAACACACCCATAAATTCCCAAGCATAAAAAGATGCTTACTTTCACATCAATAATATAGAATGTAACAAACTACATTAAACAAAGATTCTTCAAACTTATTCCTAGTTTAAACGCATTCCTTCTAGTAACACCGGCATTTTGTCAGACAAATAAAAATGAGAGAAAGCCTTAAGTCCTCATCACCTCTTCCCTAATCAGCACGGTCCTTGTAACCTCTTCCCTCTTGCCCTCAATATCCTCCTAACTCTCTCTTTCATCCTTCAGTTTTGGGGAATAAACCCCTAAAACAGCATGCACCTAACTATTTATTCATAAAAATAAGTAGATTTATGCTTATTGATAATATAGCAAAGAGACTTTATGCTTATTGGTGTAGTCACCATCTATGTCCCCTCACAAGTCTCCCCAAATATATCAGATTTTTCCTAAATAATGACTGAAGATGGAGAGGGTTAGATGAAGAAGGGGAAGAAGACAAGGCAAAATGGTGGGCTCTTCCTATACATAGGCTTAAAATAGTGGGGAAGTTGTGCATAGAGAATATTTCGGTGGGCATAACAATTTCCATACGGAATTGTCTGGAAAAGGTTTCCTAATACGAATTGTTTGGAATTGTCAACAACTAAATGTGTGGATGCTTGTTATCTCCAGTTCATAACAAGTTTGGAATTGTCAACAACTGCAAAACTTGGTAAGCAATAATGATCACAATGTTAATAAAGGGCTGACCTGGGTTAATGCCAGCAAAGATACCATACCAAAGATCATCTGTGATAAATGAAGTAGCTCTCTCCACTGCACCAAGATATATCCCAGGTCCAAGTGTAGGTGGTAGAGGATGAAACATCTTCTGGTTCGGATAATCTAAATTAACAGCAACATGGCGATTTGTGAGAAAACCAACTTGTCTGTTGCCTGTTTGGCTTCTCACAATAGCGCCCAACGTCCCATATGTCTCTTGACTTGCTACCTAACATAGAGAAAACAAAACATCACTTGGTAGATGAATCTTCAACACAAGATAAATATGATCAGGAATCTAAATAAATATCAGGGACATGTGTAAGTTCGTTGTCTAGTTTTTCTTTTACTTGTAAAATGTCCTTCAGAAAAAGGGGAAGCATCTTTTACATATCAAATCAACAAAATTTAAAGGATGAACACATGGTTCTTGCTCTCAAACGTAATGATGAAAATGAACAACAAAGTACCACACTTAACCAGTCATTTTCATAAAAAATTAACTACATGATCAATAAAATTTGACATAAATATACCAATAACTGCGGTGGATTAGGATAGCACTTAAATCACATTCCATAAGTAAAGACTGCATAGTATCTGATAATACCTGAGAACCAGAGCCTATACATGAGCCACTTCCACGGAGATCATCCACAATATCAGTGTACAACTGCTCCTTGCTTGTTGGTTCAGGTGCACCAAAGTAAGAGAATTCCACAACATCCACGTCACACCACACACTCCCTGGTCCCTGTCGGATTACAACAAGATTCACCAATAGACAAAGCAATTGCATTATCATAAGCATGCATAGCTCATTTATAGATTATACTAGTAGCACCATGTACGACATATTTCATCATCAATTGTTGTTGTCCCATGATACCAAAACCTTTGAAGTTGACAATCTAAATGTAGTGGAATAGGAAGAAGAAAAGCAAGTGTCATTATTCCTCACCTCCAGGATAGTGGGTAGACACTGAATGGGGCTTAGCCATTGCTTATGAACTTTCCTGGAAACAAAGACTAGGATGGCAGGTATGTCTGTCAACACACCCCGACGAATTCTAAACCCAATTGCAGTACCAAGACTGTAACAACGCAAGATCTTACTGTGAGATGCCCGTATAGTCATTAGCTCAAGCAAAGTGGTTGCTTGGTGCCCTTTAGGTAACCTGCCAATTGATTCCGGCAAAACTCCCTTTTGAAGGTTCACAAAATAGTTTGTTCTTTCTTCAGCAGCATCACTTAATCGGCTAGAGGTAGGCCAAGAAAAGTAAGCAGCGTTGCTCTCCGAGTGCTGTCCAGCCGACGCATAGGGTTGAAGCGTTGGTGGATTAAATGCAGGCAGATTAGATTGGCTATAACAAGTCTTCTCCAAATCCAAAGCTGATTCCTCCGATGGAGTAGAACCAGAAGAGCGAACTCTCATGTTGGGTCGTGCCGGATCCATATGAAGTTAACCAAGGAGACAAGCCTCGAGTACTGTTTCTTAGCTCTCAGACTGTAAGTAAAAGAGATGGCAGACACACAGAAAATGATAATGAGTTCAGTGATGCATTCAGTTGAATAAAACGAACACCAGAGGGGAAGTCTCATAATATAGAAGGAGGTGAAGCAGAAAGGGAAAATCCATATCCACAAACTTTAACTCGTGGGAACACTTGAATTTGGAAAAGAATTCATAATAACTTGAAAAGCAACTGCATTAATTTTTGGTCTTCGCAGACGAATAGTTTAAACATCAACGTTGTAAGTAATGCAATGATCTGGACCACTACAAAAAGCTTCAAAATTTTGTGCCTTTTTAAATATGTGTAGATTCTTATACTGCTAAAGATAGACTTTTTATACAGACTAAAACCCTAAACCAGTTTTGGGTCCAAGAAATTCCCTACAGCAGAACAAAAATCAAAACTTGAAGCAAAAAGACGTAAGACTTGCGAAATAATCACAAGTCAGAAAAGGCAAACAGCATGGAATAAAGAGCCACATAATTCAAGCATTCGGGAACAGTAGAAGACGCATCAGAACAATCACATCAAAACAATCGACAGTTGTGTTGTATGATCGGTGGCAATTGAAGCAAGAATTATAGTGAAAAGATTAAAACCCAAAAACAAACAAACAAACAAACAAACAAACCCAGTGATCAAGTAAAGGAAAAGAACTCACAGAGATTGTGATGGGTGCTTAATCTTTATCAGAAATTCTACTGTAATGTTGAAAGGACTCGAATATACATACAACGGGCTACAGAATTAATTTGTAAAGGCTTAATGCAGGGAAGGGAAGAACCATGATAGCTTCCTCCTGTAATGTATTAATGGTTTTTCTGATCTGGGCCTGTCTTTTGCGTTTTGAATCCAGACATCGATGGCCTACTGCTACTATATTGGGCATTGGGCCAAATGGGGAACCGTGCCTGTTAACAACTTTTTGTCTACCTGTTTACCATTTTCACTGTTTTTTACAAAGATTTGGATTGGTTATATTCATCTATACTATAATGGCTATATCTATATTCATTCATTAATTAATAATGTGATTATATATAGATTTGAAGGTGCATGTGGTAAGCTCAAATTTTGGATATGATGCTTTAAACGTATCATCTATATTGAAGGTTTTTTAATTTTATTTTTATAATAGTAGGGGTAAATTTAGGATCGTTAGCCACCTCATATGGGTGGACAATTTCGTCAAGATTTAATTTGATAGATGTTCATATTCTTTATTTCTTTTAAAGTTTATCAAAGATATTATGAATCTTTTATCTTCTTCATTAATAAAATCAAACAAACCTTGAATCAAATCTCTGAATTTAAACATACAACCCTAAGTCAATTGAAAAAACCAAATCTAAATACAAAAAAAAATGTTGATGGTGGGTGGTCCAGGCATCGTTGACACGAAACCCAGATGTGTGAAGCACCGGAGAAGAAGGTGTGTATGCAACCGGCGAAAAAGGAGGATGAGATGACATTGGACGGTCGGAGACAGAGGTGGGTCCTGGTGGATTGGAAGGGAGTTTCTTCTTGATTTTGTGAGTTTTCACTATCGGATAATAGAAAGGATGGGGAGGGTTGTGTTTGAGATAGAGAGAGATGTCTAATATTCATTCATTTTATTATATAATATTTCATATTTCATATAAAGTAATTTTTCAAAAGAAAAGAGGTAAAAGGATTAAATTATCCTCATGTAAAAGGCGAATGCTCAAGTTAACAGATCTTATTTAACAATGTTAAGTCAAGGAATCGTGAGTGTTATGAAAATGAAAAGTTAAGAACCATCAATGTTGATAGTGCATTTAAGGGTCCATATCCAAATTTTGAACAAACCACAAGGACTTTCACTCTTATAAATAAAGTAAAAAGGTAAATTATTTCATAAATTTAATTATATGTGTTGTTTTAATGAATTGAAGGTTGATCTTAAATAGAGCCATCTACTTATTAAATGAAATTCCTATTAATTCCCTTTAGCAACAAACCCACCCCTCCACCTCTCCAACATTTGAACTTCCTATTAGATGGTTCCAATCACCACCACCATCTAACAAGAAAACATAATTCAAATGAAGCCAGTGTTATTCGATTCTGAAATTGGGGGGGGGGGGGGATTCTGTCAGACAAATGCATCTCCAACCATCTTCAAACTTAAATCTAGAAATAGAGGCCCATAAATATACAAAAACCATATCAAATTTGAACTTACAAAAATAGACATTGCTACAATACCCAAATCCAAATTTAAAAACCAAAACCCAGATAGAGACAATGGTGGCCTTTCACCGCATATGGCGTTGGCGATGGTGGTCTTTGAGACGGAGGTCACAATGAAGGGGAGATGGCAAGAAGCAATCGATAGCAGTGGCGTTCCATGCAGATGGCTAAATCAATCGATAACAGTGGTGATCGAAGATGGCAAATGGTTTTCCAGTGAAGATGGAGGTCTTTAAGACGGAGGCCACAGTGAAGAAGATAGTCAGAGTAGGCGGAATCGACGCTTAATGGAGGTCTTGGATTTTAGGGTTTCTCAGTATGTGTATATATGTGTATGCATAATGACAGATATGTTTAATTTTTATTAAAAATTAAGGAAACAATAAATAGACCAAAATATCCTTGGAATTAACAAAAGTTATTATGAGGGATTAGAATTAAAGCAAAATGACAACCACAGTGACCAAAACTGAAACCAAGTAGCAATGATAGTAGGTGGTAACCACAAGAACCTAAGTTGTAATTTACTGTAATTTGTATGATATGAAAGTGATGGACATAAAACAAGGATGAAATACTAATGCAATATTGTAAACGTTGTTAGTTTACACAAGAAACAATTAGATGAAAACACACAAGATCTGATCTGAAAGAAAATTAACATTTGATACACCTATATAAATAATTAATTAAACTTGTTCCATGTTTATGGTATAAGAAATTATCATTCAATAGAAGCCATGACCATGATCTCTCTTTCGATGCATCTGCTGAAATATCTTAATTTTTGAAAGCAAACAAGCGATCAAAGACAACGCAGAAAATTTGAACAAAGTAATAGTCAAATTACAACTATATATGCGCATGCTGGAATAAGAATTAAAAAGAACTCATGAATCAAATCAATATTGCATGAAATTATAATCTCAATTCTTGAGATAGATTGATGTTCACAACTAAACCTAAATACCAAAAAGAAGATAAACCTGATGTCGAATTTTCTTCATGCACATACAGGAATATAGTTTTCGAAGCAATTGTGCAAATCCATCTAGTCAAATACATTTATACCAACAACATATATAAATGTAGAGAGAGAGTATTAAGACAAATAGAGATCGGCTAACTCATCCAAAGAATCAGAAGTGAGATTGAAATCGGAATTTTGAAGCATCCACAAGAGATGATCAAAGAGGACAACTTCACAATTGATGACGGAGACGACGTTATTGTTGTCGTTGGATGTGGATTTTTGGATGAGAGCATTAACGAGTGGATGGGTTAAATACTTGGAAGCAATTACGTAGCGCTTCCTGGTGCTCCCGACGAAAACAATTTGATGAGGCTCTATTTCTCCGGTGGTGTATACAGAAACGACAGTAGTATTCCACATAAAGGTTGGTGGTGATGATTCTGATCCATGATCAGTATTGGATTTGGATCTTATTAGTGTCGAATAGGAGGAGGTTTTGACGAGTTGGCTGGATATGGTCTTGCATCTTCTGAGCATCAGATTGATTTTGTTCATGAGTATACAATTGAGGAAGGATTGTTGGTTGCAAATAGATAGATAGATAGTCGTAATTAAAGGTATGAAAATATAAATAGGTAGATACATAGTCGTAATTAAAGGTATGGAGGTTGATAATGACATCTCATCCCTTCTTATTTATCTCTTAATTAATTACTTAATTAAATTTAAATATTTCTTTTTCTAAATTGTTACATATTTATGGAAGTAATGAGATGGGATTCTTTTTTGCAGTATCAGTATTAAGTTGGTTTTTGTGGCATGTTTGGTTTTGGTCCTCTCACTCACTAATTAACATACATTTTGTAATAAAAACAAATTCAAATACAAATATACCAACCAATCATTCAAAGGCAATATAAATATTAAGATTGAATATGTTTTACCAAATAAAATATATAATCATTCCAATTCCAAATGAGCTACCTTCTAAGTCACCACTATGCGTTTGATTACAAGCAATTATCAGTTCAAATTACAATCATCCCAACAAAAACAGATTCTATATTAAAAAAACTTCAATCCATTTCTAGAATTCATTATACTTGAACAACAATATCTTTCCTTCATCATTAACCTCCCTAATTCTGTAATTTAACGACAAAACTCTTTCTTTAAGTGAAGGGTATAATATATTTGTATGAAAATCGTCATTACTTCTTAAGCTCACCCCAACCAACGTCATCAAACGTTAAACCGGAACAGCATAACATCACCCTCTTGTACAACATATTCTTTTCCTTCAGACCTCAGCTGCATATCCATACACCTTGTGTAAATAAAACTAGGACACAAGAACCAATCATACCACAATGGATTTCATTCCTAACGATTCAACATGACCTATATAATCAATAAATATCATATCAAAAGGGTCTTGTTCAATGGACCATATTTCTTTTGGGGGTTTAAATTCTTAGTTTAAGCCCTAGAGATCTAGATTAGGAAATCAACTTACAAGTCCTTTCTCCCTTGCAGCTGACAGTGAACCAGCAGCAACAAAATCATTATAAGCCACCTGATAATATATAACAGAAACCGTAATTATGCCACCAGCTATGGATGTTTAAACTAATAAATATAAAGATACACATTTTGAACTAATTATTCACCAACACACTCACTGTCTCTGCTCGAATGAAACCTTTCTCAAAGTCAGAATGGATAACCCCAGCAGCTTGGGGTGCAGTCATTCCTAACACATCAAATGGTACGGGCATCAGTTACTTTAGCAGTTTACTCATTATATGGCATGTTACCACCTGTGTCATCTCAAGCTTATGCTATCTATCATCAAACGTTCTTGCATTCACTAAAGTTGTAAAAATAAAAAGCAACTCCAACAATCTTTTACCACAGTAGAACAAATAATAAAGGCGTTTGGCAGCCTACGCATCCTAATATTATAAATGGGAAAAAGAGATCAATCAGGCACGATTTTTATATATTGAGAGCAACTTAAACCTGCATGTATGGTCCATGCTTTAGTTTCCTGCAAAAAGAATTGGAAAAAACATCCTTTAATATGTATAGTGTACACAAATCGCTTGTTTATACAAAACATTTATTCTCCACACCTTCTCTCCAGAAGTGAAGTATGTACGTAAGCCAAGAAGGTTATATGTTGCCCTGATAAGGTTTCCAAGGCCACTCTCATCCACACCAAGAGAAGTCAAAAATTCTGTTCTTTCTTCTGAGGGGAGTTCGGTTAGCTCTGATTCCACCTGCAATTAACACCCTGTTAGTTGCATCCACTTGCTTTAAAACTTTGTTCAACTTTTAAAAAAGAAATTTCTTTTTTATATCAAGAGCAAACAATATACGGTTTCAGTAAAAAATTACTAAAAAAGTTGTTTGTTAGTATGCAACTAGCAACACATTTAGCATCCTCTGTTTTAATCAAAGCCAAAAAACATGACCCGTGTGATGATAATATGCACTTTAACTCCTAAAGTAATTTGTGTTGCTACTCTCAATACCTGTGCCGAGATAGCTACTAGCCCAGACTGTAACTCAGAAGCAAGTTTCATCACGTTTTCAACATGAGGATTACTTTCAGGTTTAGCTAAATCAGACTCTGCAACATTTGCCACATAAATCACAGGCTTCATTGTAAGTAAGCAGAGATGATGTATAGACTCCTTTTCAAACTCTGTTAAAGACACTGATCTTGCGGGTTTTCCATCCATTAGTGCTTGTTGTATTCTTTCCAGGGCTGACTTTTCTGCCTCTTCCTGAAATTCAAAATATTGCAAACAATATCCAAGTTCAATAGCTTTCAGTACAACCTGTTGAAAGAATAATTATTATTCAATGTGGAGCAGTTAAACAAGCTTTACCTTTACTTTGGTTTGTGAATTATTAGCTTTGCTCTTTTTGAGTTTCTCTATTCTTTTCTCGATCTGCATTTCTTGTACGATAATCAGTTCAGTTCAATCAGTTCACCGTGTTATAGAATGCTACAACTATCTCATGGTACCATAGAATTTGTACACAAATTTCTGAAACAGAAGAAGCTTATGATATAGGACTGCCTTAAGTATACAACCACAGGAGCTGTAAAATTCCAAAAATATTCCCAATAAGACCAGTAATAGCATATGTGTAACTACCAACTATCTACATCATTCATCCTTTACATTGACAAATATCAACAACAGAAGTTTGACACTGTACACAGTAAATTTTAAACCCAAAATTTCATTTATAAGGTGATCAAAAGGTTAGTTTGTGGTTTTCCACCTAATATACGCCCTCCAAAAACTTGTAAAATGTTAAAGAGTTTCAACTGTAACATTGTGATATGTGCTACAAAAAGGTAATCCAACCTGACCTCACAAATGCAATTTGCCTCAACTTGGTGCCAAATGTAAAAACCGACTGCAATAGAATACCTGGTCCAAATCTGAGAAGGCTAGTTCTAAGTTGATGACATCAATATCTGACTTGGGATCAACTTGCCCATTCACATGAACAATGTCATTATCTTCAAAGCAACGCACAACCTGACACAAGAACAAATGAGTTATAATACTTGCAGAGGTGATTTATACATGTATAATAAACATATTAGATCATGTATGCAAATAATTGACCATGAGTGTGGAAAAGAGAAGTACAAATTGTCTCCTGGTGACCAGTAAGGGGCCTCGATTTACATAATACAAGTAACACTAAACAGTTAAAGCATGTACATGGAGGATCACGCTTATCTATTGCTATAAGAAGATTGAGCATAATCATTTCCATGCCAACTAAAGAACAAAAATTGACATAACATTGTTCTAAAATCACTAACACTACAGGACTGAACAATTCCCAAAAGTAGTAGCTTTCATGAAGATCACTATCCTAGGCAATGACGGCTCACACACCATATGTTTAACATAACCAAGATGTTATTTTCCAATTGAAATTTCCACACTCGTCCCTATTCAAAAGAGTTGAGCAATTGAGAGTTGAAGAGCTTCAGATGAGCAACAAACCTGAAGTATGGAGTCCACTTCGCGTATGTGTGACAAAAATTTATTACCCAAACCCTATGACAAAAAATAGAAAAAGCATATGCATTAACAAATGAAAGCATTTAAAATTTTGAATAAACTCAAAAAAATTCATACAACTGAAGAGGATCTAAATTTCCAAACCTCCCCTTGACTGGCTCCCTTCACAAGCCCAGCAATATCAACAAATTCTATTGACGCTGGAACCGAACGTTGAGATTTGCTGAGATTAGAGAGTACTTGGAGACGTGGATCAGGAACAGCGACAATTCCAACATTTGGTTCAATCGTGCAAAATGGAAAATTAGCAGCCTGAGCTTTGCCATTCTCAACCTATATATAAGTTGCTCTACAAGATATATCAACGTGATACAAGGAAAGGGCTTCTTTGTACGAAGAACAATTACAGAATTCGGACAATCAAACAAAAAGAATCCAAAACCAGCAAATGTCCTTACATACAAGAACCTAGAGTTGATCAACGAGATAATATACTACCTATACTCTCAAATGGAGGTAAACTTTTTGAGCTCAAATGGACTGCAGCAAATATAAGATCGTGTCCAGTGTATAGGAATTAACAATTTTCTATTTTCTCACAAATAATGACGAGGGTATCAAAATCTCTCCAAAAACTAAACTTGAAATTCGTCAAGCTTCAAAATTTATCTCCATTTTCGGAATTATGTAGCATTAGCTCGTGTTCCTCGAACACATATGAAATATTTAATCAGAGGCTACGGGTTCACACCTCTTCTAACCACCTTCACGGCAAACATAACACCCTAAAGGGAATTGCAGTGACAGTGAAATATAAAGAACATAAGTAAAAAACTTGTTCCCATTAATTATAAGCTCCATATTTAAATTGGATGGGTATGAATTGATATATTGATGGCTTACAACGGCATTGAAAAGAGTGGACTTTCCAACATTAGGGAGACCGACGATTCCAGCTTTCAAGCTCATGCTTATCTTGGAATTTGAGGAAGAGAAACGGCGGACGGAAAGAGATGTTTGTGGGAAAGGAATGGAAGAGGTCCTGGTGAAGAAGGAAGACTTGAATGGAAGTGCAACGATATGCCTTGCCATTTTTGCTCAGTTGATGCGATAGAAGAAGAGTGGCCTTAAAAGAAAATATGCGGGGGAGATTGGTGTAGGGTTTTGTTTTACCACCCAAAATGTCTCATCGGCTCAGAAAAACTTTCTGGAATTAATCACAATATTGAAAAATCTGTTTGTAAATTGTAGACTTGCGTTTCCTAACAAAATATATATATATATATATATATATGTATATATATGTATATATACTAGCTGTGTATCCGTGTAATGCAGTCGGAGCCATGAATTTTAACGATTTTAAAGTTTCACTAGTTTTATTAGAAAAGATTTAACGATTATATAAGTTATACTTGGTCTTTACATATTAATACAATTTGAATAAATAAGAATTATGGTTTTAACTACAGTCTATCAATGAAGAAAAATTGTATAATAGTTTAAAATCCAATATATTTAAAAATTCAACATATTTAAATTACTCCACAAATGTATTCAATTTACACCAAGAGCAAAGAATCAAGAGATCGAGACCGAGAGTTCTAGAGCAATTGAATGGGAGATGAATGAAGGAACTTTTAATAAATTATGGTGAATATCAATTTGAATCTCACCTTGGGGAATGAGGAGAAGACATAGAGGTATGAGAGGATGAAGGCATGAGTGAAAGGTGTCAAAAGTAGGGGTGAGCAGCGGAATCGAATACCCGTTTGCGGAACCGGAACCGCCTTGGAACCGCCGGTTCCGGAACCAGAACCGATATGAATGGTTCCGGTTCCGGTTCCTAAAATACGGAACCGATTGAGAACGGTTCTGGTTCCGGTTCTCAGTTTTTCGGAACCGTTACCCGCCGGGTACCCGGAACTGGCGGTTGTTTTTCAATAAAAAAATAATTGATTTTTTTCAATA